TTATCATTCTTTTAGCATACCCTGACTCAGAAGTCCCTCCATTCTCTTGACTAAGTTGTCCTTCTTTGGACTTTTAGTACCGTTATGTCCTTCATGAATTACAGCAACCCGGATGAGCACAGAATATCCTTTGTTGGCACCCAATGGTTTCAAATAAAGACTTTCCATTTGATTTTCAGCTTCTTTTCTAATAAAAATTTTTGGCTTTTTTTTTTGTCACTGGAGAAGTACTTTGGACTGATGTCTTCTGGGAACAATCTAAGAGCTAGCAAGGATAATAGCCAGCATTATATAGTACTTTGAGGTTTGTAAATCGATCTATAGTATGTGATATTTTCACGTATTTTCTGTATTACCTATGGTGATTGACCATAAATGATAACCTCTCACTTTATAACTATAGTTTGGATTATATGCATTTTAACTATACTTGGTCATACGCAGTTAGGTGGTGTAGTGGATAGAGTGCTGGGCCTAGAGTTAAGAAAACCCATCTTCCTGAGTTCAAATCCAACCTCAGACACTTAATAGCTATGTGACCCTGGGTAAGTCACTTAACTCTGCCTCAGTTTTTTCATCTGTAAAATGAGCTAGAGAAGGAAACGATAAACCACTCCAGTAACTTTGCCAAGAAAACCCCAAATGGGGTCATTGAGTCAGACACAATTGAAAAATGACTGAAATACCTGGTCATACTGAACTTTACCTGCTACTTTTCTGTCTATTCCACTAGAACATAAGCTGTTAAAAATACAAAGTGTTCCATTCTTTGTCTCCGTATCTCCTGGGCCTATCAGAGTTCCTGGAATATGGTAGGTACTTAATAAATGCATGGTGACTTCTTTGATTGATTGATTGATATTCACACTATATCAGAAGACTTTTCTGAGATTTATCCATACTGGGTTAACAGGAGAGCCCCAGAAGTCTAGTGTTGCATATGTGTTTAAGGATTTCTGATGAACATCTTCTAGATAATGTGTTAAAATGCCAAATAATACTGGTTCTTGCTCTAACCTCTCAGAAACTATATAATTTACAGTACTCTACTGGGTAAAGGGTCTGCTTTTTTATAATGTCTTTTTTTTTATTCTTCAGTAAAAAAAGAATTTTACCTAATCACAAAATAATGCAATATTCTGAAACAACCTTTGGTATGGAATCCTGTTAAAAGCTTTTTGAGGGTCTAAATGACCAACAGAGAAGGCAAACCTGCAATAACATAAATGTACTTAATTATGAGAACGTTTTGATCATCTTCAGAAATAAACTGGAATACTAGAATAGAGAAAGGTAAAGAATGTTAGATCTAGAAGGGACCTTATAAATAGTCTAAACCAATTCTCTTCTTTTACAAGTGAGGAATTGAAGTCTACAGATGAGAATGACTTTACCAAGATCACATGGTGAGCTAATGACAAAGCCCGCAGGAGACCCTGGTTCTTTCAATTTCCACTCCAACGTACTACTTTCATTATATGCTGCCACATTCTTCACCGATATGTTGTGAAGCATAAGTTAACCTTGAAATCTCATGACAAGTGCTCCTGCGAATAATTTTTAAAAATAGGACTTCAACTTTCCTGGATCATTTTTTTAAAACACAGCTTGCATCATCTTCACCAAGTGATGTAACCCAAACTTGATCTTTTGATTTCACTGTGATTCATTTTAAACTTAAAATGAAATAAATGCTCATTAAAAATACAATAAACAGATCAAACACTGAAAGTTCCCTAGAATAATCTCTGTTAATGAAAATGTGGCAGTAAGTAGCCATCATCTTGCTTTATTATGCCACATGTGAGACCAATAATGCAATACAGACATCCACCCCATGGAGCCAGAATCGCAGACATGTGCCTGTTTTTATTGTCCAATTAGTTACAGAGACTTCTTTCTCTGTTTCTGCTGAGTAGAGGTTTTATACCCAGTGACCAAAATGAGCTGTATTCTTGGAGAGAAAGCCAGAAGAAAAATGGCCTATAGAGTAGAAGAAATCATTCATCTGCCCTAATCTCCATGTCTGCAGTGAAAATGAGACTCCAAAAGTATGCATTTTTGATGGAAGAAGACACAGTCTAGGAGTTTACAATGTACACTGGATTCATGTCATCCTTTCCTCTCCTTTAAATGAGGACAAATTGGTATTTTGCTAGATGTGCAGCAGAATGTTAGGAAATCCTTTCTAAAGGTTAAAGGCTTTATATTGGTCTCACATTGAGAAACTTAAACAAAAAAAACCCCAAAACTTTTTTAGTAACTTCTGAGCTTTAATGAATATCAAAAATAGGCCCTTGTCTTCCTGTGCCTGGTATAATTCTTCTAATGAGCAGGATACTCTGCCACTCCATATTATAAAATAGGAATGGTGCTGACTCTGTGTCTGCCATGGATTCCCAGGAGCATCGATGGACCAATATTTTCAAGCATTCTGAACTTTGAAGGCATGCTTGGAACACTGCAGTTCAGCTTACTCTGCTCTCTGGAGACTCTTTACCATCTGATTGCTTACCCAGCAGAATATTGAGAGCACGGAGAAATACCTCGCCACTACCTATGTCAATGAAGAGTTAATATGAACTTATAAGAACAGTTTTAGAAGGCTTGTAATCTGGTAGGTACAGAGCCAGATGTATGGAAGAGAAAAAAAAAAAACATTACAACTAGATTAACTTGGTTCTCCACTTTTCACCAAACGACTTTCAAACTTGAATTTGGAATCCTTCTAGGTAATGGGCTCTCAAATCATAGCTGCCCAGGGAGGAACTGAGATAGGGAACATTTACTTCTGAAGCCAGGGTGTCCTTGACAGACCCTTAACTTGGGGTCCATGAATTTGTGTTTTTAAAAACATTTTGATAACTATTTCAATTTAATTGGTTTCCTTTGTAATCCTGTGTATTTTATTCTATATATTTAAAACTATTATTCTGAGAAAGGGTCTATAACCTGACATAACAGGTAAAGTTTCCACGGCCTGCCAAACAGGTCAAAAAAGAATTAACAATTAAGAAGAATTTAAAATCAAAAGAATTAAGAATCTCTGCTCCATGTGGAAACCATTTTCTATGGTTTATTAGAGCTGAGCCAACTAAAGGTGTTACAGTGATTAGAGTGATTAGAGCTGGGCCTGGAGTCAGGAAGACATCGTTGTGAGTTCAAATCCAGCCTCAGATACTTCCTAGCTGTGTGACCCTGGGCAAATCACTTAACCCTATTTGCTTCAGTTTCCTCACGTGTAAAATGAGCTGAAGAAAGAAATGGCCAATCACTCTAGTATCTTTGTCAAGAAAACCCCAAATGGGGTCACAAAGAGTCAGACATGACTGAAAGTGACTGAAAAGCAACCACAACAAAAACAATTAATGTTCAATATTCTGCACTACTACGATTGTGTCCCTAAATCCCACAAACTGTATGTAGGCGCTGTGTTTCTAGCAAGGAATCATTCTTTCCTCCTTTTACCTAAGATTATGCTTTTCTTAGGGTACTAATTTATTTACAGAGGAAAAGACTACTTTTAAAAATAACAGAAACAAGGTTTCATTAGTTTAAAAAAAAAAGGCATCTAAAAGACTTCTACCTAGCAATCAGATCAGAGGGCTCACAGCCTTTTAAACTATCCTAATTAGTTACTATTTCCTCAAGCAGATTGGTTGGCCATGATTTTTCCCCTGGGTCTCAGAACATTCTGTTTCTGCATGATTTAAAAAAAGAAAAGAGAAGGGTGTCTTGTCCTTTTGAATACTATCCTGATTTGGAATTAACATAGCCAGACACTATGGACAAAATTCATACATCTGGGTCATACATCTGGGACATCCCTAGCCAATGCAGAAAGCTCTTGATTAATGGTATACTTTTCATGCTTTACCCAAAGCTTCTCACTTAACCCTCTAGAGAAGTAGCTGTTACGTTCCTGCTTCAAGGGGATGATATCACAGGACTCTGGGTACACTGCTCCAAGGACCAACAGTACATAATCCCAAGCAGTATATAATGCTCAAACTGCACCAGAATGTATTCCCTCTCCAACCCCCAAAAGCCACTTCTTTTTTTTTTCTTCCTTTCTGTTTTTTAAAAATCACTTCCTTACTACTGTGGTTCACATTATTATTGCTGGTTTTGGGACTTAATTCTTTTGAGTTCTTAGTTTTATTTTACTTTAATCTTCAAATTAAGTAAATGCTCTCTATGAAATAAAGAAAATAAAGGAATATTAAAAGTTCCGCTAGAAGAAACTCCATTAAGGAAAACTAGAGCAGTAAGTCATCATGTTCTTTCACATGCCACCCTCCAGGCCTGCAACTTGGCCATGCCCATTTTCTCTCTGCCCTTCTCTGTTGGTTGTATATTGTTTTTCCTTGTCAGACATCAGATGAAGAGTAGGAGAGGGAAAGATGATTCATGAGCACTATATGCCAATGTCTTTGAAATAAACATGTTGAGATTGGGCAAAAGGCTCTTCTAAACATCTGGCAACTTGCCAACCTACTCTTTCTTCTCTACCCATATGTTCCTCCTCAGTATCATTTTTTTAGGCTCTTCTTGGCTATTTGGAATGGAGGAGTTCTGCAGGACCAGGATGAAACATTTCTCTGCTTCCCCTCAGGTTTCAGCAACAACTCCATGCCTGGACTTTGGTTGGGACTGGAGAGAAGGTGGGCTTTAGTGACCCTCATTTATATCATGACTTGATGCTCTAGCATTAACCCTGGATGTGGGCTTAGTAGATTGCCAGGAATTCTAGGTGACTTGAGGGGAGTGGTATCGTCATGACACATTTTGCTGTAGTCAAGGAAACCATGAATTCACACGCATGCAATCCTATGTATATACACACACACAGGCAGAATATAGAATGCTATGACATTAAGATAATTAAATAGACTAGAACAAATTGCAAGTAGGCCTTGTTCTGTAGATCTCTGGCTTTAGAAAATGCATTCTAGCAGCTAAATGATGTCATAATAAGGCACTGAAAGAACGTAACTTACCCACCACCGGTGCCTCCATTTTTGCTGAAATGAGTTCGAGGTTCACTGGATGCCAGCTTCAAGAGCTCACTCCACTCTCGCTCCCACTCTTCTTCAGTATAAACTAACCCTGACTAAGGAAAAGGAAAGTGTCTGTTTTAGGAGATGCAACTGAAACAGATTGGCAGTGGCCACCTCACCCTTAGTCCTTGCTGAAGGGAATAGAGACTGATACAGCGGAGTGGATAGGGCATTGGGCTTGTAGTCCAGAAGATGTAGGTTCAAATTCTGCCTCTGATACTTTTGGGTTGTATGGCCCTGGGCAAGCATCTGTCAACAAGATCTGCCATCTGTTTCTTCATCTGTCAAATGAGGGGTTTGGAGTTGAGGGTTTCTAAGGTCCCTTTAAGGTCAAATCTATGATCCTGTAAAACTGCTATTGGAAGCAGTTACAAACATTGCCTTTGGATTATCTTGGTCCATTTTGAAACACAAGCATAGGTAAAGGCAAAACGGTCTTTGGTAGTGACTGCATGTTTATAGCTGTCTCTGATTTATTTTTCTCCTTTGTTGCTGGTAAAATATTTTGTAAAAAAAAAATCTTGAATCTATACTATTTGCTGCAGGGAGTTTTTCCAGCAATAAGGAGTCTGACCTTAGGCAGCCTTGAGGGCAGGATATGGTCTAATAATAACTCACAGGTTGGTCCAGTTTGAGGTATCTCATTAAATCTTAAATGCATCCAAGATGGACTATGTTGAAATAATAAGCAGTTACTTCTTCTAGAAAGGTCAGATCCAGGTTCTACTATGAAATCACTCTGTATAACAGGAATAGAACAACATTTGGCATGACAACTGAATAACTCAGAATGGAAACAAACAGCTTTTCCCCAAGCTATAGTGCTTCTTGATTCTTTTCTCTAAGCCATACAGTCTTTATATTTATATAATTCTTCTGGAGCAGGAAGGAGGTTTTTTTCCCTCTCTATTGTGCAGAAGGGGAAACTGAGGCCCACAGAGGGAAATCAATGTACCTAGGGCCACATGGCAAAGAGCCTCCTTACCTTGGAAGGGAACTCTGGCAATTATTTGGTTTAAAATGGCTATATTGCCTTGATATAAAATATGTACAGCTATAACAAGTGAGATCAATTCTTGTCCTTTCAATCCAGGTATAAAAGCTGACCAGTAACAAAAAGACTAGCTAATATGTATGTAGTACATTCTAATTTCTAAGTAATTTGCTTGTAAATTTGTAGAATTGGTTTCAAACCTTTTCTGGATAGAATCAGTATTTTGTCTTTTCTAAACTAGTGAATGAATTAAAAAGTCCCAAATGAGAGCATTTGGCATTGTGCTTTTTCATCTCTCTTTCTCTCCCTTCTTAAAGGAATAGAGATTCTCTAACCACACTTCCTCTTATATTTTCATTTCATTTTCTACATTTTGTTCCATTTGAATATAAATTTCATGATGGCAGGGATCATGTTAACTTTTTTGTACCACTTCCTCGATTCTTCACACAGTGTTTTGGACATAATATTTATTAAATGTTTCTTGAATGAATGAAAAACAAAAATAAAAAATAATCCATCTTTGGACTGGTTTTAGGGAAATCTTTGTGTGGCCTTTCAGCCTTTAGAATAGGAAGTGCTATTATCATTAGCCAACAAAAATTATAATTTCACTAGCCATAATTATAGTGTATAGGCAGCCAGGTGGTACAGTGCATGGAGTGCCAGGCCTGGAGTCAGGAAGACTTATCTTCTTAAGCCCAAATCTGGCCTCATATACTTACTAGCTGTGTGACCCTGGGCAAGTCAGTTAACCTTGTTTGCCTCAGTTTCCTCAATTGTAAAATGAGCTGGAGAAGGCAATGGCAAACCATTCTAGTATCTTTGCCAAGAAAACCCCAAATGGGGTCATGAAGAGTCAGACACAACTGAAAATGACTGAACAACAATAATAATTACAGTATATGTATAATGTGACTAATGTCCATAAGTTATCATAAATATATAAAGTAAGACCCCTTTTGATATCTTCCCTCTTTATAGATTTCATGGAATATTGATTTAATCAGATTTTTTTCACTGAAGGTAAATTATTTTAGTTGAAGGTTGCAAAAGTATTTATTACTATTTTATTTATAAGGCTAATTGTTATTTTTTTAAGCCTTCTTTTGATGTGCCAAAAGATCTTATTAGGGAAATTAAACAAATAACCCATTAAGTTAAGAAAAGCTATAAAAAACTCAGCTTATTAAGTTGGTGATTATTGATAGTATTAACTAAAGCACATACATACATACATGTATTCTTTCTAGCCCTCAAAATGTTATGCCCAGTCAAAACCCAGTGATAATAGTGATAGTAATCATAAAATACATCATTTTCCAGTCTTTTCTGCCTTCCTTCCAACAACTCTATGGAAGTATTATCATTTCCATTTTCAGAGGCAGAAACCTCAGAAACTTCTCAGTTTCAGAAGAGCTAAGTCACTTACTTAAGTTACTCAGTGAATAAAAGGCAGAGCTAAGACTTGGGTCTTGGTCTTCTGAGAGAACAGAATTACTGAGTCTAGAATTCTTTACACTAAGCCACATTGTTCTCAATACATACTTGTTAAGGAAATTAATTTTTTTTTTCAGGGAGATAACAAAAAGTGAAAATATTATCCAAAAATAAGACACTAATTCCCTTAGTGATAATAGAGTACTCTCTAGGGCATATGCCCCAAGGACCTCTCCAAATAGGGAAGTTTTTAGTGCAATCACCCTAAGCCCAGTGATTTTTTGGGGGGCATGGGGCACTCCACACTGATTACTTCTAGATAGTGACTCAGGGAGACTCTATCCAGGCAGAAGGTAGCTCTGGCAGCTGGTGCTAGTAAGTATGACCCCAGGTACATAGGTATCAACTAAAACCGTAAATTCTTCCATTCCCATAGTCCTGGGGCTGTTTCTATGTACTCTGTACTCCTCAAACAGTCCTTTGTGAAGCTGCCCTTGACTTAGCCTGTTGTAAAAACACTGGCAGGGGACGGCCCGCACACAGTAGGATTTGCCATGGTTCCTGCACTCTACCCAGGGATAGTCTCCTTCACAAAGCAAGAAGAAGGAAAACTAAAAACCTGAGAGCTGCTAAAAAAAAAGGGGTGTGTGGGGGGGCTCTTCCAAAGCTTGCTCAGGTAGAAAATACAAGGGGAAAGTAGAGAAAATGTCTGGCTTTAGAGGGAATAATTGGTGGAATGCAAATACCTCCTATGGACCAGAGAATTTACTGCCCAACAAGGTTCCAAGTTGAAGAGTCAGAAAAATTCAAGGTTCCCTTTCAGATCTGTAACCAACTGGTCACTTGGCTCTTTCCAAATGGACAGACAGAGGTAAAAAAAAAAGTTGCTGAGATTTATCGTTTCTAGTCTAAACACCAAGGTCAAAGATGGCAATGAGACGCAGCTCTCCTAGGGGATAGTGCTTCCCAGCAGTTTCTCTACTACCCGCTAAGAACTCCGGAGCAGCTGGCAGGGCTGCCCTGAAATTTGCCTCCCTTTGCCCGAGGCTCTTCTCGCTCTTAACGTTTCTGTGGCAGTGTTTCAACACCTTCTCTCCCCCGTGCGTTGAAACTGAAGCTTTAATACTCTTCTGCAGCAATTTTAGCTTGGTACCCAGGAAGACGGAATGCTGACTTACACGACCAGCCCCTGGGGCCTGTACTCTGAGCTCCATCATACCCAGCCCTGCTGCTGGTCAGGAAGCCGTGAATCAGCTGTCACTCACGGCTCACTGCAGGGGGAGATCGGGGTCGGGGTTTTAAAAACACGTCAGAGGGCACAAACCTCCTTATTCTGCTGGGTCTGTTGCCATCTCCACCTCCGCTTCAACGCTTCCCTTTCGGCTCCACTCCTCATCATGGTGTAGAGAGCCTTGCGCAAAACCAGGTCCCGGTCATGAAATCCCCACATGCCTATGGAGCAGAGGTATACTTGTGATGAGGGGGGCAGAGATTGGGAAATGAAGAAGGGGCTGCCAAAACTATTAAGATCATGCCCCACACAGCCTTCCCATTTCTGCAGGGATAAAAGCAATTTTGTTAATTAATTGCCAAATTCTCCTCATTAGCTAATGATTCTCTTTCATTACTTCTAAGCTCTCCTAATGGAACCCATTAGTGTAAACAGACTAATGAAGAAAAATGCGACCTTTTAAGCAAGCTGATAGCCTAGCTTAAAAAACAAGAACAACAAAAATCTATCACCGTCTCAGTCTCTATGAGTCTACTGGCAACTAGCTCTCAGCTGACTTCAGCTTTACTACAAGGAATCAAATGGGTCGTGGTTTAGGCTTAGAAATAACATTTGTGCTGTGTAGGCACGAGGAGGAATTGGAGATAACAATAGACTCCTTTGGACATCACTGAACTAATGACATGTACTGTCATAAGTTTCCAAGTACAGCCAAAGAGAAATAGCAATGGGCATGGAGCAAAGAGAATAACGTGGCTGATGACAAGAGTCCTAAAGATAGGCGTGTCTGATTCCCATGGGCATCTGCTTGCCCTAGGAGTAGGTTTCATAGTAATCAACAAGGTCTCAGTCTACCAGGCTGAGTATGTATTCAGGGCCATAGAAAATTTTGAGTATTGAGGTGGCAGCAGTTGCTCTCTGAGAAATAGGCCTTGGATTGACCCTTAGCATCCACAAATGATGTATAAAGCAACCAGGATTTTGTTGGCATAAGGAACCACTGGTATGGGAATTCTAACTTGTCTGTGACCCAGTAGATATTCCTTGGAAACTGGGCACTTGAGGTTAAGTGACTTGCCAGTAAGCAACAGAGGCATGATTTGAATCCTGAGCTCCTTTATTCCAAGCTCACTGTTCTATCCACTATGCTGCACTGATTCTACTCTTGGTAGTATATCTGGTACAAATAAAACAGCCTATCCTTATACTCCTTTAAAATTAATTGGATCTGTCACGTAGATTCTCCTTTAACAATCCTGGTCATTTGTCACTTTGATATTTCAATACAAAAAGAAAACAAACCATTCAAAATAAAAAAAAATGTCATGAACTTGAGGCAGCATTATTCCATTTTGATTTTCCTGGGACCTGCTATACTTCCTGGTGATCAGTGCACCAATTTTTCTCAATGTAAAACCTTCCATTACAATTGAAACTAAGTCCTAATTCCCATTCACTTACTAACCCCTTCACTTTCCCTCTCTCCCTTACCCCACCATCTCGGTCCTTGCTTCCAAGCGACCAGGGGCACAAGAGCTCTATTCACTTTGAGTGAATGTCCACTAGGAGTAGGTCCAGTAGGATGTTCAGAGGATGCTTAACACAAAGTAAACTGGAATAATCAGAGGAAAAGTCCAGCAACCAATCCAATCTGTGCCCTAGTCCACATGAAGAGACCTAAGGGGAAGTGGATACTGTCACCTATAGTTTCCACCTTGAGCCCAAGACAAAGCATTGGGTCTACAGCTTCACATTGTGTGATGGTTTTGTGGGAAAGAGAGCTTTCTTTCATGATATTCTATGTTGGATCAAAAATTACTATCCTTAATAATGTCTTTCACATCTATGTTCCATTCCCATTGTAATTACTCCAGACTAGGCTCTCATCATCTCAGGCCTAGACATGCTCAAGTCTCCTAAACGGATTCCTCACTCCCAGTTTCTCTCCAACCTCTTCAATCCATTCTTCACAGTGTCAACAACTGACCTTCCAAAGATTGCTCAACCACAACCTTAAATTTTTTCCTGTTACCTGAAGATGAAATGCTAATTCATTGACCAGATACTTACTAAGTGCCTATTATATGCAAAGAAATGTGCTAAGTGATCCAAAAACAAAGATGACATAATTTTCTTTGAAGAACTTATGTTTTCTATTGGGGGTAGGAAGAATGTAAACATAGAAGATACATGTCAGCATAATAGAAGGTAGGGTGTCTATTATGTGCATACATGTGATATTAAAAGGTAGAGTATATATGTGTATATATATATACATACATATATATATATATATAAATCTATGTAACTGCTAAACAAACTGTCTCAGGAAAATTTGAGGAAAGAAAACATTAAAAGGTGAAAATGGAGTGGAAGAGTCAAAGGTTTCACAGAGAAGGTGGTACTTGAGTTGAATCTTGAAGAAAGGTATGGATTTGGAAAAGCCAAGATGAGGAAGAAGTGCGTTCCTGGCAATGGAGGCCCAATGCAAATGCATAGAAGCAGATGATAGCATCTTGAATTCAAGGAATAGTTTGCTTGGGATTTTTTGAAGAAGAACCTAGTTTAAAAAAACTTTGGCAAGATGGCAGAGTACAGGCTGGGATACAAATGAACTCTTCCAATATTCCCCTCCAAAAACTTTGAAATAGTGCCTCAAATCAAATTTTGGAGGGCAGGGCCAACAAAAGGTCCAAGAGAGATATTTTTCTAGCCTAAGACAACTTAGTAGGTCCACAGGAGAGGTCTGTAACACTATAGTGGGTGCAGGCCCTGAGCATGGCAGGAGCATCAGTAGTAGGTCTTGGAGGATGCTACAAAAGTAGCACCAGCAGTTTCTAACGCTCTCAGCTCAGAGATGGTAAGGGGGTTTTGGTCAGAAAGAGATTACAGAGGACGTTTTGCTGGCATTAGTTGTAGCTGGTGCTGACTGCCAACTCTATTGCCCATAAGCAAATTTTGAGTCCTAGTTCCAGGACAGAGAGGAGTGCTTGTGATCCATTATAGGAGAGCAGGGGCCCTGATCACAGTTCCCGGGCCAAGAAGAGCACTAGCACTTATAGCTGCATGACAGCAAGGGATTTGGTCACAGTTCCAGAGCTAAGAGGAACACTATACTTGAGGCTGCAGGGAGGCAGGGGCCCTTCTTGGGTAAAGACCAGAGCACAGACCAGGAAAGCAGTGACCATACCTCTCCCAGGATAGCATCACCTTGGGAGCACCGAAAACTTGCCAACCCCTCAAAACTGGCTCTGAAAACAGTAGCATGAAAAAACATGAAGCATGGGACAGTACCTCCCTACCCCCAGATGAACAAAGTTCACCTTTAACATAAAGTTCAAAGTAAAAGTATGGACTGGGAAAATAAGCAAACCACAAAAAAAGAACTTGACCATAAAAAGCCAGTTTGGTGGCAGGGAAGACCAAAATATAAACTTAGAAGAAGACAACAATGTGAAAACAAGGACAAGCAAAGCCTCACAGAAAATGCTAATCGGACCCAAGGCCAGAAAGAAATACTAGAAGACCTAAAGAAAGAAATGAGTGGTAGAGGAAAAATTGGGGAAAAAATGAGTGATGCAAGAAAATTGCAACAAATAATACTTAAGAGAATATCCTCCTAAAAAACAGAATTGGCCTAAAGATAAAAGAAGCACAAACATTAACCGACGAAAAGAACTCCTTTAACAGCAGCGTGGGACAAATAGAAAAGGAGGCAGAAAAACTCACTGAAGAAAATAATTCCTTGGAAATTAGAATTGGCCAAGTGGAAGTTAATGACTTCAAGATCAAAATAATGAAAAAAGGAGAAAATGGGAGATATATTGTTGGAAAAAGTGACCAGGAAAACAGAACACAGAGAGATGATTAAGGAATTATTAAACTACCTGAAAATCATGATCAAATAAAAGCCTCAGCATCATATTTCGAGAAATTATCAAAAAATTGCCCTGATGTCCTAGGACCGGAGGGCAAAATAGATATTGAAAGAATCTACCGATCACCTCCTTGGAAGAGATGCCAAAATGAAAATTCCCAGGAATATGATAGCCGAATTCCAAAGCTTCCGGGTCTAGGAGAAAACATTGCAAGGAATCAGAAAGTAACAATTCAAATATCATGGAGCCACAGTAAGGATAACACAAGATTTAGCAGCTTCCACATTAGAGAAGCGGAGGTCTTGGAATATGATATTCCAGAGGGCAAAGGAGCTAGGATTACAATCAAGAATAACCCACCCGGAAAAAAATTGAGCACAATTGTTCGGGGCAGGGGGAATGTATATTTATGAAATAGAGGACTTCCAAGCATTCCTGATGAAAAGACCAGAGCTGAATAGAAAATTTGACATTCAAGCAGAAGACTCAATAGAAGCATAAAAAGGTAAACATTAAAGACGAATCAAAAGGTCCTTAATAAGGTTAAACTGTTTACATTCCTATGTGGGAGAATGATACATGTAATTCCTAAGAACTTTATCATTATTAGGGCAGTTAGAAGGAGTCAGCATAAACAGAGGGTATGGATGTGAGTCGATTGTTAGGATGGTCTCCAAAACAAAAAATGGAGAGGTGAGAAAGAGGGATGCACTGGGAGAAGGTGGAAGAGAAAAGGAGAATGGTGCAAATTTTCTCATATAAAGGAAGAGCTTTTATAATGGAGGAGGAAATGGGTGAGGTGGGCAATGCTCGAACCTCAGTCTCATTGGAATTGGTTCAAAGAAAGAAGAATACACACACCCTCAGTTGGATATTGAAATCTATCCCGATAGGGAAATAGGAGGGGAAAGGGATAAGAAATATGTGGGAGGGGATTATAAGAGGGTAGGAGGATTGGGGGAAGAAGATGTCAGAAGCAAGACAGGCTTTTGGGGAGGAACAGGATAAAAAGACAGAAAGAAGGATAAGCAGAATAAAATGAGATGGAGGGAAATGCACAATGATTATATCAATTTTATCTGTGAATGTGAATGGGATGAGCTAACTCATAGAAGAGAAGCAGATAGCAGAATGAACTGGAAACCAGAATCTAACGATATGTTGTGTACAAGAGACACACTTGGGACAGAAAGACCTACAAAGAATCAAAATGAAAGGCTACAGCAGTCTACTGTGCTTCAGCTGAAGTGAAGAGGGCAGGGGTGGTAATCATGATCTCAGACAAAGCAAAAGCAAAATTAGACCTGTTTGAAAGCAATAATCAGGGAAGCTTCATTTTGCTAAAAGGTCATACATAATGAAGTAATGTCAAAAAATTTCACAGCATGTTTTTCTGACAAAAGGCCTCATTTCTCAAATATATAGGGAACTGAGTCATACTTATAAAAATAAGAGCCATTTCCCCATTGATAAATGCTCAAAGGATATGAATAGGCAGTTTTCAGAAGAAGATATTAAAGCTTATATAGTCATATGAAAAAAATGCTCTAAATCACTACTGATTAAATATAAATTAAAATAACAGATAACATAATAAAATATCAGAAATAACAAATGCTGCAGGGGATGAGGGAAAAATAGGTATGTTAATGAATTGTTGGTGGAGTAGTGAACTGGTCCAACCATTCTAGAGAACAATCTGGAATTATGCCTAAAGGGCTATAAAACTGTGCATACCTTTTGATACAGCAAATTCACTACTAAGCCTGTACCCCAAAAGAGATAAAAGGAAAAGGAAAAGGACATATATGTACAAAAATATTTATGGCAGTTCTTTTTGTGGCAACAAAGAATTGGAAATTGAGGGGATAGTCTTAATTGGGGTATGGCTGAACAAATTGTGGTATATGATTGTGATGGAATACTATTGTGTTATAGGAAATGATGACGGGAGTGGTTTCAGAAAAAACATGATAAGATCTATATGAACTGATGGTGCAATGTGAAATAAGAAGAACCAGGAGATAACTGTGGACAGTAACAGCAATGCTGTAATGATGATCAACTGTGAAAGACTTGGCTACTCTGATCAAGACAATGACCTAAGACAATTCCAAAGGACCCATGACGAAAAAATGCTATCCAGCTCCAGAGATAGAACTGATGAATGCTGAGTGCAAATTGAAGTCTGATTTGCTCACTTAAAATTTTTTTTTTGCTTTTGTCACGTAATATGGCTAATACATTTTGCATGGTTTCACATGTATAATTGACATCAAATTGTTTCCTTTCTCAGTAGGTGGGGAAGAGGTGGGTGGGAGAGAGACAATATGGAACTCAAAATTTAAAAATAAAAGGATATTAAAATAAATAAATAATAAATATTTTTTAAAAGTTTGAAAAGGTAGGCTGGAGCTAGATTGTGAAGGTTGAGAATGCTGAGAGTATTTGTGTTTTATCTTGGAGCCAATAGGGAATTATCGATTTTTATTTATAATCAATAGAGTAACATGGTCAAGTTTGTACCTTTAAGGAGATTATTTTGGCAACTGTGTTAAAGCTGGATTGGAGAAGATAGAAATGAGAGGCACTCCAAACAAAGTCCTTAACCTGGTATGCAGAGCCTTCCATAGCTTGCTCTCCCAAATTACCTTTCAAATATTATCTCCCACCATCTATTCACCAGCACAAATCCTCCATTCCAACCAAACTGGTCTACTTATCTTCCCTTAAATATTTCACATGTATTCTTGAATCTACATTGTGTTCACATTGTTTCCCCATATGATATACCTTACTCTTTTCTTGCCACTAAGTCTTAATCATCATCCAAAGGTCATTTCAAATTGTATATCTACAATGTCTTCACTAGGCATTTATTGTATTTGTGTAATCTTTTCTGTTAGTAAAGAAACTGGCATGTTTGGGAAATCTACAGATCTCTGATCCTTATTGGACTCACCTAGTGAGGCAGCATGTAGGAGGCAGTTTCCATCCCCTGTCGTTGCCAATGGAAGAAGACGTTTGCAACTCGTACACACTGTTGACCACCAGTTCAGACGACCTGAAATGGAAACTTACTTTATTGACAATGCAAATTCCAAGAAGCAGCACTGTGATGTTAGTATGGCTCATACATGCCCTACAGTGTCAAAGATAACCAGTAGGTGTTTACTAGTTAAAAGTTTCATAAAAAGAATTTTGGTTCATGATTATAGAAAGACTTATCTAACTTCTTAAGTAAAATTTAGGGGTTTTTTTTCCCTTTAAGAAAAGGATGAGCTAAATTTGGCTTTCAAAAAGCAAAAAGGTTAGGAAAATTTGAGTCAACTTCTCTTCTATTGTGTCACTCTCAGTCATTTAATCAGTAATTCAAAATGACTTTTTTTGGGACCAAAAAAATCTTCTTTATTAGTCCACAGGTGTTTTGTATGTAGTTTTTGCTTCTGAATGTTATTTTTTTAATCCTAATTTTTCTTATTCATCATTTTTAATTAATACATATTTATTTATAAAAGTCTATTCCAGGGCAAATTGATTGAAACCATTATTACTTTTACTTCAGGCCCATCATTAGGTTCCACCTTTGCCTTAATTTTCTACCCTAAAGTAGATAAATGATGCTTGATTTTCAACTTCACATGACAGTTAACAGAAAATATTTGAAAACTGCTTAGAGTGACTGAGAAAAGGGTTTGAAGCTTCAAAGAGAAATATAACTTATTAGGCTTCCCCCCAAAGATTTGGAAACAAGTGTTTTCATATTATTTTTCATAATTGAATGCATTTGGACCTCTCAGACCCAGTAACCTCTTCTGCAAAATGGAAGTGTTGTTCTAGATGGTTTCTAAATTTCTACAGTCCAGCTAATCTGATGCATCCTTGAAGATAGGCCAAGATAACAATTTATTCTCTATCTTGTGTAATAGGTATCAAATATTGTTAAAGCTAGTATGTTAACATAGCTATTTTAAAATTTCTCAATGCAGGCAGAGAAAAAGTGTAACAGAAAATCACTATTAATGATTGCATATTTTTGATTTGGGTAATACAATTTAGCAATCAACTTTTCAGGCATCTGATTTTGTAAACTACAATTCAGTCAGTAATCAATGGTTAAACACCTTCACAAAAATTAAAAAAAACTGTTCTTGATTTTCCTTTTTTTGATATAAAGAAATAATACTTAATGAGACTAGAAACAATGGGAGCAGCCATATTTCACTATCCATATGCCATTTGCCATCTTTATATGTTTTGTTAAAAAATAAGAGAAATGTTACCATTTTTAGAATACTGGAAAGGAGTCATGAAAATATGTACAACAAGGACAATAGGTCATGGTTAAAGAAAAAAAAACCCTCTCCAAAACAAATTTAATTTAGAATTAATGAGACAGTTACTGCCTATTAAATTACTGTATTAATAAAAATTAATGCATAAAATTTCACCAGTGTATCTGGTATACTAAATATCTGATTACTCTATGGATTTTCTTGGTAAGACTCAATATATAAATTCTAATAATAAAAATTTTAATACAAAAAGCAACTTGTCCCATTAACAATAAATTAAAGATTGACATTAATGGGCGAAATAGTCATACACATGTTATGCCAGGTAGCTGATAATCTTCACACACTTCTAATAATCAGTTGGTACCTCTCATAATTCACAACAGGTCTTACCAAATTGAAATTAGATGTGCATTTTAGAACCTTGATTTTAAGTGCTACTGAATGGCCTTTAGGAGACGCATAATTGGAAATAACATGTGATAATTTTTAGCAACTTTTCTGTCTTCAGGCTGTGAAATAACAACCTGTCACCTGCCTTTTGCAGAATATTTTTAAAAATAATAATCCAAGCTGGAAGAAGCTAAAACTGAGTTGCCATTTAAAGTAGAAGACTGAGGCTTGCGAGATCCCAGATGATGACACTCAAATGGCCCACTAACAATGAAAGACCTAAGCAACCAAAGCTAACCTTGGGTTAGTGTACGTGCTCAGGGTTTGCTGCCACTGAGAGTCAAAAACCCCGGATCTCAAAGCTCTGGTCCCTCTCATTACCAGCCTATCATGGAAATTCTTTTAGTATTGGACTTTTTGTCTTAATAATGGGAAGTCATATGCATTCAAATAAACTTCTACATATTGAAATCTTCAGGCAGATGAAGGCTGTGGCTTTTTGCAACTCTGCAAGGAGACTGGGGCCTTTTAAACCAAAAATATCTACGCAAGAGGGAGCTCATAACTAACAAATGTCCTAATGCTGCATGCTGTGTGGGCAAGTTGAGAAGTCTGCAGCCTGCGGGCATGTCAATGTATGTGCTATTTTTAAAATTCAAAAAATGTGCCCCGCTACAGTGTCAAAGTGGGTCATCTGTTTGAGCCTGGAGAAATGTCTCAGGCAGGGGGGACTGAGAGTCCGAGGGTTCCTCTCCTATGTATCTTTGTAGCTGCATATCCTTGGGCGAGTTATTTATTATTGTTGTGATACATGGAAGAAAAGGAAAAACAGAACTCTTCTGGACTGGATCACATGGTTGTTTGCAGCATGCAAACATGATTCTGCAAATCCTTTTTCCTACTCTATTATGTATTCATTGGATTTTTCAAAATTCTTGTTCTTTTAGTGATTGTCCTTGGGAATATGTAATACACTAAATGTTCATGGAAATAGAACAAAAAAATGGATTTTTTTATGAGAATAGTGATTCTCTTACTTTGTATTTCTGTGAAGATGCTATAGTCCTCTGCCACGGGTCCTTAACCTGGGGTCTAAGAACTTTAAAAATATATTTTGATATATTTTCAGTAAAATTTCTTTCCCTTATAGTCCCATGTATTTTATGTATTGCATTTAAAAATACTATTCTGAGCAGCACATCGGCTTCACCAGACTGCCAAAAGGGTCCATGATCCAAAAAATATTAAGAATTCTTACCCTAGTAGACTATAACTTCACTGTCACCTAGTAAACTATAATCTCACAAGTCTTAGCATTTAACATAGGGTCTGGTACATAGTAGGAGCTTAATAAATATTTGTTGATTGTACTAACTGATTTGAATTAGGGCAGAATCCTCCAAAGAAGGAAAAATGCTATTGGATTCTATCAAATTGGCACTACACTCCTCTCTCTGCAAATCCATGACATTGTCTCTGCTGAGCTCAGTTCCACATTGTCAAGCTGACTCGATGTCTGTCTTGTCCTCTCCTTCAAATGACTTGTTATTCCAGCCCTCATACCAAAGATCTATTGCTCCTTCCTCCTCCTTCCCCCGTTCTTCTCCACTAAATCACAGACCCCCACATCTGCAGAGAAACCTTAGCATTCGTAACAGTCTTAACTCTCTCATTTCACTGGTGAGGAAACTGAGTTGCTCTGGAATAGATATAACTACCTCATAAAAAGGTACATAGATCTAGGTATCTCTAGTATGCAATTAATACCTTTTTCCTTCTTTTGGAATCTTAAGCTTTCCTGGTGACACTAAGCCATGCCACAAGAAGAATTCCAGTCTCACTCAGAAAAGACTTTTGGTCTTTGATGCCTGCATAATAACAATACCTTATATTCATAATTGAGCAATTTACACTTTTCCTTTTTTTCTCCCCAATTTAGCAACAAACATTTATTAAGCTCCTATTTTGTTGCAGTTTTGTGCCTAAAGAGGCCTTGGTGAGGATAGAGAGAATTCCAGGCATTGGGTTGGAGTGGAGGTGGACAGCCTACCCAAGGACACACAACAAGTAGTTCAATTCAGCTGCTATATAGAGTAGATACAGCCAGGTCACATAATGGATAGAACACTGGGGTTGAAGTCAGGAGGACTTGATTTCAAATCCAGACTCAGACACTTATTACGTGTGTGACCCTGAGCAAGCCATTTAATCCGTTTGTCTCAGTTTCCTCATCTGTAAAATGGGGAAAGTCACACCACTTACTTCAGACTGTTAAAAGGATCAAATAAGATAATCTTTCTTAAATGCTCTGCAAACCTTAAAGCATTATGCACATGTTAGCTATATTTATTATTAATATTATTATCATGCTAAAATATAATGTATAATCAACCTCCAACAGAGGCTAGAGTCAGATTATGAAAAGCTTTATTCCTCATGGAATATAGTACCTATTTTGAATTTCCTCTTTTATATAGTTCCTATAGGCATTTTACAATTTTCAATACATTTCTCCTTATATCATCTCATTGAAGCCTCTGGAGCTGCAGAATCATTAATATGTTTTTAAAACATAAGGAAACTGAGGCTTAGATATTTTAAGTGATTTGGTATAAGTCAATCAGTGGTATAGCCAGACAGAAGTTTTTATACTCATTCTAACATGAAAATATTATTTTCATAATATTATGTTGTCATACCATTGCATGCTATCTTAGGGGGCAGTATATAAACCTAAATGGAATGACATCTTCCTTTCTTCCTCTCCCTCTGCTCATGGTCTATTATCTTGTAATATATAACACTTTCTACCACTCATATAACACATCATAAACTGCCTCATATTGTAGATAGCTCTGTGTCTTATTTCCCCTACTGGATTATATACTTCTTGAGGGAGCTGGGGTTAGATCTTAAACTTTTAAAATACCCTTAACAGTACCTTACTTACAGTAGTGCTCAATGAATATCACATGGGTAAGTGAATGGGATTAGACACACTTTTGTTTCAGATAATTGTGTTAGAGCCAGTATAGAACAGAGACTAGAGTATTAGAGCTTGGAATCAGGAATACCTGGGTCAAAATTCTTCCTCTTACCCTGGCTCCGATCTCAAGTCTTAACTTTTAACCTCTATATGCCTCAAGCAATTCCCTGGAATTCATCTAATAGGTCATAAACAGGTTGTAGATCTGTGATCTGTGTTAGTGGAGGAACTTACATATGCTAATGAGAGCACAGATCCTTGCTATATTTATATACCCATTAGTCAAATTACAAAAGAGTGTTGGTAATGCTGGAAGCAATCTGATTCCTTCTTGGGCCAAAGAAGATCTAGATGTTCCCTATTTAAGCATATGCCAAGCATGTGGCCAAG